GTGGCCAAATAGTCGAAATGCACATTGGTTCTAAATGTGGAGGGAAAAACCGAAGGACCCGGAGAAAAATCCACACGACCACACGGAGAGAGAGAGAGAGAGAGACATGGAAACTCCCAATTCACAGGCGTCAGGGTCGGGATCGCACCCACGACCCTCTGCATACCAGGCAAGGTAGTTAACATCTCGCCACCACGTTGCCATCTCACCACCGCGGTGCCATCGTGATAGGGGTAGGTCGGGTCGTAGATGGCGGCAAGGCGTAGCAGGAGGACGGTCTAGGGAGAAGAGATGGTGCTATCACAAAACAGAGCTATCGCAGGACCTGAGTTATCACAGAACTGTTTTTCTGAAGTCTCAAGTGGCCTCTTGTATCCACATTCGAAGTGTGCATTTTCCCACCCGCCCTGCCACGGACCCTCTGCATACCAGGCAAGGTAGTTAACATCTCGCCACCGTGACGCCCAATTTTATTCATCGCCGCAGCGGACGTCCTCTTGGGCGTACTCCCTCGTTTGGCTGCCGTTCCGTCATTTGTCTCGACCACCGGCGGTCCGTCCCTTCTGGCAACGCTCCCTGCGCACTCGGTCCACTTGCCGCAATTCCAGGCACCCATCTCTCCACGCCTCCTTACGCTCTTCAAAGTTTTTGTAAAACAAAAAATCCCGTTACGATGTGACGATTTTTTTCAAATTCATGTCACATGGGAGTGTCACGAGTAGCATCATGAAAAATGTTTTGGTCAGTCTGTGTTTAATTATATATTAATGTTGAAATGTATTGCAGTACAGTACTACGTTTACCTTCTTAAGAGGACAACTGTCAACTTGAAATAATTTGAGAAAGTACTTGTATTGTGCGTGGAGTGGTGGCATAGTGGTTATCACACTGCCTCCGAAGTTCGACTTTTGGACGTGGCTAACATCATTGGCAAGCGATAACTGAACCGATCCTGGGATCCTGGGCCTCCTTCACCGATCTGCACTCACTAGCGTGGTGAAGTATGGTCAAACAACCCCCCCATCACAGACAGCATGGGAAGACCTTCATCCAACAAATGGCTTGTAAACTATTATTATATCATTAATGTTTGTATAATTTTTCCAAGCATCGTTGTTGCAATGCTCATGCACACGGGGTGAATTTAGTGTGCATCAGATTCGAATTATCCGCAGTCCCGAGGGTAAAATACATGTATAAAATAATAATGAGTACCGATGATGTAATGCACAAAGGTGGTCTATAAATCTATAAATATCTGACTGTATAACATTAGCATTGGAAATCATTCACGGCATCCTTTCTGTCTGTGGGTAAGACACTTCAATCGGAGACATGGTTCAGCCTTGATCAATCCAACTTCTAGATGAAGCATGAAGACCTTCTCGATGTATAATACTCCACCCACAACCTGCGCATGAACTAATTTCATCGTTCAAGTTTTTTTGGGTTAGATTGTGTAAATATAAATGTGTCGTTAAACCCGCCACCACCCGACACAGCCAATTAGTAAGGTTTGTCACGTAAACAGAACGTGCCAATTAGTTACTAGTTCAGCACACGGGTTTGTTGGAGAGTATATCCAGGCTATCATCTGATGAAGAAGCTGGTTGTAATCACCAGCGAAACGTCGTACTCTAATTGTTAATTTAAAATTACTCTCTGATTTAATTGTCTTATCTCCTCAGTGGAAATCCTCCCGGACGCATTCCATTCCTTGACCGTCACTCCCATTATTATTATTATTATTCACCATCGCCCATGACCGTTCCTGTCAAAGCCCCACTCTCTTTTCTTAAAACGATTAGAGGGCCGATGTAAAGCTTTTGTGACTGCAGGGATTCATGTTCTTGGTTCTTTCGGTAAAGTCACGTAGAAGGAAAATAATAAAATAATAAAAATAAAACATTAAATAATTCTCACGACGTTTCGGCTACAACGGCTGCTTGCGTTGTAGCCGAAACGTCGTGAGAATTATTTTATGTTTTGTTTTTATTATTTTATTATTTCCCTTCTACGTGACTTTACCGAAAGAACCAAGAAGATTAGAGGGCCGTCGCTAATGCAGCCTAAGTTCTCAAATCCACGCTTTCCTGTTGCTGTCTCTCAATTTAAGTCCCTGGTTTTGATCTTCCGTGAGGCTCATAGTCCACCCTAAACCGCATCCACTGCACAAACCATGGCTGCAGCAGATGCGAATACCTGATGCACATAATGGGAAATTAAAAACTCTCCAGTCGTGTGCGACTGTGGGTCAACCAGAACAGACCTGTAACAACGTATAACGACACTATACCCGATCCACAAATACGAAGGACACATTACAGCGATTTGCTCCTGACGCGGTTATTTGGCTTGACCACCTGGAGGTTAAATATCGATTTAAAGCTTTCGTCACTGCAAGGATTCATCTTCTTGGTTCTTTCGGTAAAGTCACGTAGAAGGGAAATAATAAAATAATAAAAATATAACATAATAAAATAATTCTCACGACGTTTCGGCCACAACGCAAGCAGCCGTCTTCAGGTGGAGAACAGGTCTGTCGAGAAGGCAGAGTCTGAATGGCACGCCCCAGGCTTGGAGCGACTATTTATGCTGGGATGGAGGGGCAAAGAGCATCACAAGTAGTACTAATCGCATATCTGCATTTCCCATAAATATGCTAAATTCGTATTGATATGCAAATTATTTTGTCAAGACGCTCTTCGCTCCCTCCATCCCAACATAAATAGTCGCTCCAAGCCTGGGGCGTTCCATTCAGACTCTGCCTTCTCGACAGACCTGTTCTCCACCTGAAGACGGCTGCTTGCGTTGTGGCCGAAACGTCATGAGAATTATTTATTATGTTTTATTATTTTATTATTTTCCTTCTACGTGACTTTACCGAAAGAACCAAGAAGATGAACACCTGGAGCTTACATTGTAGTTGTTGCTCTGCGTCTACATCAGCCGTACGAAAGAAGAAGAATGTAATTACGAGCAAACGAACGCATTCATTACGGTAAATAAGATCATTTGTGGCATTTGCTCCACACGAAAGCACGCAACTGAACAGTAAGGTTGCAAGAAGCACATCTCCGCACGTTCCCAACGTGGCTGACAACACCGTGGAAGCAAAGTGAGATACCTGCTCGTGCGCGATTGGCACGTGGGAACATCTGGTTGACTTCAAGATAAGTATGAGTCTGCCTACGGGTTTACCAAGTTCACTCTCCCTGCCTTCACTGAACACCACCCTTTCCACTCTCAAATGTGACGTTGCGTGGATAATAAACCCACGGTGTACATCCAGTGCACTAAGCACCTTCATCTGATCTGTTCCTCTTCACTGTTGCATCGGGACCAATTACAGAAGGTGACCGGGTGACCCAAGGATCCACTGAGAGCCTGAGTTAAAATCCAGGTAGCCAGCGACCTGCTGTGATTAAACCCAAGTGTATTGAATTGATTTCGGTACAGCCCAGTCACCAATGACTACGCACACAAAGAAACACACAATCGCGTTAATTAAGTGTGGTGCTGCACTTGATTTGGCTGCATTCCAGCCACGAGAATTAAAATGTCATTTTAAATTTTATCACAGCCACGAACACTTACTCTTAAAATGGCAAGAGAGCGGGTGTTTGAAATTGGGACCTTGAAAGGATCTCGGGCGGTAGCTTTGTGATATCCGCTTCCGTGGGGGCGTTTTTTTTTTGCGTGGAGGGGTTTCGCTTCTGTGCGAGAGATCCACGTGGGTTGTTTGATCGCACGGCATGATGCCGACGGCAAAAGTGACAACACTTTGACTGGATTCTTGCCCGATGAAGCTGATTGTAATTATCAGCGAACCGTCGTACTCAAATTTTAAAATGCTGTTGATTCTCTCTACAGCACACCGGTGGGCTAAAGAAGTGAATTATTTATGAATAATAACAATGATGACATTTCTGACGCACCAGCTTTTGCAGACAAGTCGTCAACTCGGGGCTGCGGAGCCAAGCTCAGAACTGCTCGAAAGCCTGACAAAACAGATGTTTAATAAAACTCAGGGGGCCTTTGATGTTGCGGATGTGCAAAGGGGTGGAGTTCCACATAATGCTCTTATGTGTGGTTGGGTTGTACCATACCTGTCAACTCATACGGTGGATCCATATTCTTGTACAGGGAAATTGAGTAAAAATTAGTAAATTGTAAAAAAAAAAATGTCAATTGTAAAAAAAAATTGCAAATTTTTTTGTGTTTCTCCATTGTGATGAGACTTTGTAGGATGAACGTTGAGATTTATGAGGGGCACGGGGTGACCAATAAGGTCTGAAATGGCCTGTAATAACGTAGAGCACTGATAAGGGATTGACAGGTATGTTGAACCATGTCTAGATTGGCATAGTCTAATGTTTCTCTCAACGTCCTGGGAGCTTTTCAGGAACATGGAACGAAAAGTTGACCATCGTGCCAACCAACAACACGCGGTTCAACGCGGAACTCATCGGAGAGCTACACAGTGCTCCCGCGAAAACCTACTGCAGTAGCAATTAGAATCAGTTAATGAAGAAGCCGCCACTCATTTGAAACAATTGGGGTTTGACAGCACACGTTGTGTATTGTCGGGGGCCGCACGTCAGAGGCCGCACTAAAGGCCACTCAGGACACCCAGAAAGTTAATTTGAGAGCTATGTATGTATGTATGTACGTTGAACTTCTTTCGCACCGTACGTAGCCAACCTTGCTCTTCAGAGGTGCGTGGAAAGACAATAAACTAAAAACAAAAAATACTCGGTACACCCAGAAAGCTCATCTGAGAGCTACACGGCACAACCACAACAACCTACGCAGTAGCGACAGATAAATTCTGAAGTCGCGGGCCATAGGTTCATCATCATCCTGATTTTACATATTCAGTCATCCTCGACGAGTGTGTCCGCACTGACTTGGTGCGTGTGAGACAATGCCGATGCGACCGCTGATGCAACGTGCTTTGTGCCGCTGCCGCCACCACTTGTGCCTTGCTGTCTCTCCAGGAATGATGGGTCCTCGCCCGGTTGTGCTGAGTGGTCCGTCGGGCGCAGGGAAGAGCACGCTGGTGAAGCGTCTCATGCAGGAGTACGCCGATGTCTTCGGCTTCAGTGTGTCCCGTACGCCAAGCCCGCGCACGCCAACACGCACGCCAACACGCACGCACGTGCACACACGCCGGCACGCACGCCGGCACGCGGGCACACTTCGCTACTCCACTGCCGTGCCTCGTGTACACGTATACACGTGGATTGGGGTAGGGTCCATCATCTTGGTTCTTTCGGTAAAGTCACGGAGAAGGGAAATAATAAAATAATAAAAATAAAACATAATAAAATAATTCTCACGACGTTTCGGCCACAACGCAAGCAGCTGTCCTCGGGTGAAGAACAAGTCTGTCGGGAAGACGCTGTCTTATGTTTTATTTTTATTATTTTATTATTTCCCTTCTACGTGACTTTATCGAAAGAACCAAGATGATGAATCCCTGCAGTCACGAAAGCTTTAAATCGAAATTTGGGGTAGGGTCATTTGGAGAGATAGTACTACTGGCTAGTTGGTTGATACGGGTCACAGGAGGGCGAGTGCTAGTGGCTTTATCGCTAGTTTGTCAGTCCGCGGGAGGGATAGTTCTATTGGCGAGTTCAGGGGACGGCAAACCAAAATAACAAGAAGAGCCATTTACACTATGGGAACCTCATTTGCCAGTAAAATATGATAATTGGTTGTTTACCCTTCTATCTGGCAACAAAACTGACACCTTTTTACAAGGAGTCATGTTTGCATAGACCGCAATACCTGCAGTCATAATACAAACAAAAGACATAACTCTGATAATGAGGTTCCCATAGTGTAGATGCTTGCCCCGAGCTCTCATACTCTGATGGTGCATTGTCTTTGAGTTGTGCGCCTTTTGGCGTCATCTGGTCCAACCCATGTGAGACGAGGCTCTAAGGAAAGCTGTCTCGGGTGTGGACCAATCAACTTCAAGGACAGTGCACATTATCAGAGTTATGTCTTTTGTTTGTATTATGACTGCAGGTATTGCGGTCTATGCAAACATGACTCCTTGTAAAAATGTGTCAGTTTTGTTGCCAGATAGAAGGGTAAATAACCAATTATCAAGAGCCATTTATTTTCGAGTTCGGTAAAAGAAAATCAATATTTCACGAGCCGCTTTGCATCTGAATAATGTCACGAGGAAGCAGTCCTTACAGAGTCGCCACAATCGGCTCCGGAGCAGCAGGTTGCCGACCCCAGGGGCTAGTTGGTCGATTAGGACCAGAAGGGCGACTACTAGTGGCTGATTGGCTGGTTGGTTAAGGTCAGTAGAAGGATCAGTACTAGTGGCTGATTGGTTAAGGTCAGTAGAAGGGTCAGTACTAGTGGCTGATTGGTTAAGGTCAGTAGAAGGGCTACTACTAGTGGCTGATTGGTTAAGGTCAGTAGAGGGGTCAGTACTAGTGGCTGATTGGTTAAGGTCAGTAGAGGGGTCAGTACTAGTGGCTGATTGGCTGATTGGTTAAGGTCAGTAGAAGGGCTACTACTAGTGGCTGATTGGTTAAGGTCAGTAGAAGGGCTACTACTAGTGGCTGATTGGTTAAGGTCAGTAGAGGAGTCAGTACTAGTGGCTGATTGGTTAAGGTCAGTAGAAGGGTCAGTACTAGTGGCTGATTGGTTAAGGTCAGTAGAAGGGTCAGTACTAGTGGCTGATTGGTTAAGATCAGTAGAAGGGTCAGTACTAGTGGCTGATTGGTTAAAGTCAGTATAAGGGTCAGTACTAGTGGCTGATTGGTTAAGGTCAGTAGAAGGGTCAGTACTAGTGGCTGATTGGTTAAGGTCAGTAGAGGGGTCAGTACTAGTGGCTGATTGGTTAAGGTCAGTAGAAGGGTCAGTACTAGTGGCTGATTGGTTAAGGTCAGTAGAAGGGTCAGTACTAGTGGCTGCATGGCTTATTGGTTAGGGTCCTTAACACATCTTTCGGCCGCACTGTGCTGCACAAGGAGTCCATGACATCTGTTCATGATCAGAGTGTTACAGCAACATGATGTATGACAAAGCAACTCCTGAGTCTTCACGGTTATTCTTTGGTTGGCCCCAATAGACATGTAAATGTAAGCTTTATAATACTTTATATATAGAAACCCATACACTTAAGCATACTTACACAAACACATCTTGTCCATCATCCTCTTATGTGCAAATCCATTTATCCGTGGGGGGTGGGAGAGGGATTTTCCTCTGTTGCTGATCCCAAAGTTAAACTTTGCCTGGTCCAGACGTGCTATTTGCCACTGCGTCGGCTCGTGCTCTGTGACTCTCCAATGTGTTTTATATGCATGTTGAACCTCTTTCGCACCGCACGTAGCCGACAGTGCTAATCGGAGGTGCGGGGGAAGGACAGCACACTAAACAAAGCAGTTTTAAATAAATTATGTTTTAAGATTGTAGCGCAGCGTTCTTCATTGCAAGGCCCGCGGGCCACTGGCAGGCCCCGGTGGCCTTTAGCGCGACCTCTGACGTGCGGCCCCCGACAATACACAACGTGTGAAAACACCCCCCCATCGTCGTGCTGCTGGCAAATCCCAATTGTTTCAAATGTGTGGCGGCGGCCATTTGCACCAATGATGTCTTATCGGCGAAAGTGCCCCCCGTCTGAAAATGAGTGAAGAACACTGTGTTGTAGCACATTCTGTTCGACTGGATGCACAACGTATATCGCTCCACTTGTTGAGAGCTCCCCGGTGTCCTCCTACGTGAAGCCCGAAGAAGCTCCCAGCGAGGGGAGCGTAACGTCGCGCATCGCCTTGAAACGACGCGCGGCAACAACCCGAACACATGGGAGAGCTACGCTGCAGGCCTCATCTCTCCTAGTGCACATTTTCATTTGACATACAACTCAGAGGTGGCCAACCTGTTAGCAGGTTACAGGCCCAAAAAGTACCCGTGCCGTTCTGCAAAGAGCCAAGTGTAGACAGTAAAACCTTGGATTGCGAGTATCTTGGTCTGCGAGTGTTTTGCAAGACGAGCTAAAATTTTAAATAAATATTAATTTGATAAACGAGCGAGGTCTTGCAATACGAGTAGTACGTGTATACGCTTTGTCTGCCGAGCGTCACGTGATCACAACTGATATACGAGTGCTTTGGATTACAAACACGTTTCCGGAACGAATTATGCTCGCAATCCAAGGTTTTACTGTATATTAGTGTGTATATATATTGCGGTTATGAAAGTTCAACTAAGTGTTGTATTTTATTTTCACAGATACGACGAGAAATCCAAGACCAGGGGAAGTTAACGGCAAAGGTAGTTCTCGTTTGATGCGTGCCTCACCTTTATCGCAGATGGTGTCCCGTCTCTTCGTGTACAAGTGGCTTATAATCAGTCGGCATATCTGATGTGCAATGCAAATGAATAGACTTTTTTTTTCTTGCTCGATAAAATTTTCTTGGTTCTTTCGGTAAAGTCACGTAGAAGGGAAGTAATAAAATAATAAAACATAATAAAATAATTCTCACGACGTTTCGGCCACAACACCTGAGGACGGCTGCTTGCGTTGTGGCCGAAACGTCGTGAGAATTATTTTATTATGTTTTATTATTTTATTACTTCCCTTCTACGTGACTTTACCGAAAGAACCAAGAAGATGAATCCCTGCAGTCACGAAAGCTTTAAATCGAAATTCGATAAAATTTGTTAAGAAAATCAAGTTTCAGTCCATCAGCTTGAGCCTTCCAGAACATTTTTTTTTCCCAGTAGCATTTGTTCCAGCAGCATCAGTTTTGACTTTCCATCAATCAAGATATTCATTCATTCAATTATTTTTCAGAAACACGTGTGTCTCTTTTTGTTGGGTAGACAGCTCCGCCACTAAGTTTATTCCACCTGTCACGATTTTCCACCTTGATCCATAATTCAACATCTTCGAAACAGAGACGTGCACAGAACTCCATAATTTATCTCTCGGCCTACCAAAGTGCGTATTTTCCACGTTTACCAGTCTTCTTGATTCAAGTACAAATGAAGACTCATTACATGCTGCATGCGCAGCGTGTAATGAGCGTCCTTATAGCTACAGAGTCGCACGATGCGACGAAGAGAGCGTTGATTTAAATGAAAATAGAGAATCCTGTGTGTGCATATGTGTGTGTCTCTAGCCATGTGGAGAGTGGTAGGGTAGCAAATAGCACACTGCGCTACAAACCCGGTGACCCGAGTTCGATTCCCACTCACCAACACCAGTGACGATTATCTTAACCGGTCTTGGGCCTCCCCTAGGTCGACTGAGCGTCCAATGAGTACCTGGTGCGGTGTGTAAACTTCGCCATGAGGGAGACAAAGGCGGCCGGGCGTGGTGTTGGCCACCCACCTCTTCGTGTGCCATGCCAGCCTTCATAGGTGCTCGCTAACAGCACTTGCCCCAACAGTCTGCTAAGGCTATACGGGGGATCTTTGTTTTGTCTCTAGCCTTTCCCCATGGTCTGGGCAGCTCATTTTGAAATCGCTATCAGTTGGGCAGTCCGTTCTGGTGGCATTCTAAACACATGTCTATGCCATTGAAGCTGAGACCGTTGCTATCTTGAGAGTTGGTGGCGAAAATAGGTGTCTTTAATTTTTACATGGCAATATCGAACCCTTCCTTGTCTGTTTATTATCACTATAAAATCATGGCCCACAGTCCACAGCAGCTCACAAACACCTTGTAATTTTCTACATACATAAACTCATTTCTTCAGAACTGCTTTTTGTGTTTCGTTCGTTGCCCTTCGCCCCCGCACCTCCAATTAGCGTGGTCGGCTACATATAAGTTCAACATTAATTTAATGTGACCTCTGTGTAGATTACCACTTTGTCTGTCGGGAGGAGATGGAGAAGGGCATCTTGGCGGATGAGTTTATAGAGCACGCCGAGTTCTCAGGGAATTTGTACGGCACCAGGTGAGTCGCGTGGATAATCCTCTCTCTCTCAAGTGTTACCCCTCCAAGGAAAGATGCTTGGCTCTAGTTCCCTCCCATCCAGACACGCACCTCCCCCCCCCCCACTGACACCACGCCGCGGTGGCGAGACATTAACTCCCTCGCGTGGTATACGGGAGGTCGTGGGGTCGTTCCCGACCCTAACGCCTGCTGTATATTTGGAGTTTGCGTCTCATCTCCCCGTAGTCACATTTAGAATCGACGTGTTTAGAGTATTTGGCGACTTCTGTAAATTTCCACATGCTAAGCCACTTTGTTAGGCTATCACGTGTGGCCAGGGTGCTTCTCGGCCTTACCTGGTAAACTAAAAATAGTTTATAGTTTTTATCGCACTCTGCACTAGAGTTCTTGAGCATTTGCTTCCTCAACAGTATTGTTTAGGTGACACATCACAGGGTAGAGTTTAGCGTCATACCCAGGACAGGGTTAAGTTTTACATGCTTTGCAGTTACTTACGCAGATTTATACAGCATCTGTTCAGAGTGTGTCTTAGGGAAACACCTCCGATTAGCGCGGTTGCCTCCGTACGATGCGAAAGAAGTTCAATGTACACACCCGATGTTTCTTTTTACAGCCCATGAGAAGCATGATTGGAATCGCACTCAGTGACAGGAAGAAGGAACATATGAATTAGATAAGCAAGTTAGAGACGTTATTTTGACTGTTAGTTAAAATAAAAGGAAGTGGGCTTAGGCAAGACATGTCCCTTGGGATAATGGCCGGTGATAGCGACTAACATTGAAGTGGCAGCCAAAGTAGGGAACAGCGGAGAGGACGACCGCCATGGAGATGGAGTGATGAGATCAGTTAATTTGGGAACTAGATAGATTGTTGCATCACAGGATTGTTACTGATGGCACGACAGCTTGGGGAGGCCTTTATCCAGCAGTCGATAGATCATTGCTGCTGACGATGATAGAACAATGACCTCACGGGCGATGTCACTTCAGAATGACTTTTTCCTGGTTTCACCCAGCGTATTGCTGGCAGCGTTAATAGTATTGCTAATTCGTGCGTTTGTGTTGATGTGGCGCGCAGTAAGAAAGCAGTGGAGGTTATCCGAGACCATAACCAAATCTGCATCCTGGACTTGGACATCCAGGGCGTACGCAGCATGAAACGTACCACCTTGAACCCACTCTACCTCTCCATACACCCACCTTCAATAGAAGCGCTGGTGTGTGCCAACAGAATGATTTTGTTTTATAACACTTTCCTGCTACGGATGAAAGTGTGTTAATGCATTCGCTCCGTGTGTGTTTGTCTAGCAGGGGGGGAAGGGGTGGTCACGGACACTCTCGTAAAGATCATGCAATATAAATTACATTTTAGATAAAGTTGCGTTGATATTATGGACTTACCCAAAATAAAATTGGACAAAAGGTTAGCCAAAGCTTGGAGAAAAAAAAACCAGGGACAGAATTAATTTCAAGATTCTACTGTTAACCTTTAAACCATTAACCTATTCTGATAATGTACGTGTACTTTATCAGTTTTTACTCACGATTCCGTTCGAAAACGGAACTGCAAAAAATAAATAAAATAACTTAATCGGTACCAAGGACTCCCACAAGGCCATGTGAGAGTGCGTGTGGCACAGTTTGGCGTCAGCTATCGTAGAGTGCGGTCGTGTCACTGCAGTTCTCCGCGGTGAGTACGTCTTTAAAAACAACGGCACTCCGCCTCTCTAAATAAAATGAATGCTGAGCTGCTCGCGCTTTCCGAGTTTCAGCGGTGAGCGGGAAACCCCACCCTGCAACTTGCAGTCGTCTCCAAACAGGAAAGGGTTGAGGGCTCGCTGGCGACCTAATATTCGTGATCCATTGAATCCTCAAGCCCCATTTTTGTGTGTGCATATGCAGGTCTTTATATAATTCACACGCGTGTGTGCTTTACATGTCATCGGCTCTAGGAGGAGCGTCTGCGTGGCCGTAAGACAGAGTCGGAGGAGAGCATACAGAAACGCTTGGCAGCTGCAAGGGCTGACATGGAGATCAGTGAGTACTGACTACAGAGTTATCACGTGTGTCCGCAATTTTACTTTATTTATTTGATTGACCCATACCCACGACCACATTTACCTGGGATGCACCCGATTACATCAGGCCTCGAAAGTGAAGAGGAGTTGAACCTTAAGAGGTGACCACGATGTCTGTGTTGTGGGCAGCTTAAGGGCTACGCGTTGGTCAGCAGAGGGCAGTGCAGCAAATTCGATTGTTCTACTATCTACTGTGATTATGTGCTCCCACAGAGAGTGACATTGCATGATGGAAAACATAAAAAAAATCACAATAAATCTTATGACAATGATGATGATTTTTCAAGTTTAGGCTTACCTTTTGTTTTATGATTCTCTATCACAGGCAAGGAACCAGGAATCTTTGATGCGGTGATAATTAACGATGACCTGGATGAGGCATACAACAAGCTCAAGGACGTGCTATCTGAGGTGTGACGCATTCTCCAACGTCGCAACACGGCAACATCTTAAACTCAACTGCCGCCATGAAAGGAGACAAATATGTAATAGGTGACATTCAAGAAATGTCTGGTCTTCAGAGCATATATAGACTTAGCTAGTCACACCATGCACAAATACTGCACTACACATGGGCAGTTAATTGTTCAGGATGCACGTGTGACAATTGGAAATGCGACATTGTCCTATACAACCTGCATTGTCGGCACAGTTAGAACGTTAAAGTACCAAACTATTATGATCTATTTTGCATTTTGTAAGTGCGTAATGATGAAATTGACAAGTAGATTTTCTAATTTGTTTTGTTTTGGCTTTTACAGGAGATTCAGAAGGTGCAGGCTTCCAAGGAGAATTAGAGACATCTAAAATCTTCCAATGTCAAGAAGTGCAGATGCACATTATATCAAAAATTGTAGCTCACATGTGCACAGTACTAATAACAATTGTGTAATGCTATTTGCTGTATTCACTTAAGGGAATCTTATGATATATATAAAGTCACGATATATATCCTGGCAATTATAAATTTACTTGACCGTAATATTGTACTTGAAATGTACACGATGTCCATTAAGATTGTCGTGCAATATTATCTATAATAGAGGTTTTTGGGTGAGATCACGTAAATATAAATGTGTCGTTAAACCTGCCACCACCAGACACAGCCAATTAATAAGGTTTGTCATGTAAACAAAACATGCCAATTCGTTATTACTAGCACAGCACACCGGTGTGTTGGAGAGTAAACCCACAACATTTACAATTCGAGTACAACGTTTCGCCAGTAATTACAACTAGCATCATCAGGCTACAGCCTTTAAATTTAAGTGATCTAACCCAAAAACCTCTATTATGGTTAAATCGTTACAATTGGACAGCAGTTTTAACTAAGCTGAATGTTGGCGTTATGTAAAAGATAAATAATATGCTGAACAAATGAAAATCTCAAGTAATCTTCAACAGCACATAACAGAAGCATTCGAGACGATCAGAGCAGAGACGTTGGCGAATGCCCCAGACTCTCAAATCTCGATGTGATGTGTGTCACCAACACCAAGTGTGTGTGTGTGTGCGGTTTTATTCACTTTGCTCACACCATTGTCGAATGCTGATTAATAATGGACAATACCAGATTATGCTATATTTATGAAGATGCCTTTTCCTAAGGTTTTTGGAACCACATGAGGGAGAAGTTTTATATTTTCTGTTGCAATAGTTACAATTGAATAAAATGAAAGCCATTACAATTACAGCCTGTATTCTATCATTTATCAACAACATCAACAGCCATGATGTAGCCACTGCTGCACGAAGGCCTCCCCACAATGTCGCCATCATGATCAGCGATGGGCAGGGACACTTGGCTGGAAAGGATGATGGCTAGTGGTCATGACTAACAACAGAGTTGCAGCCAAAGGTATGAACACCCGGGGAGGGCATCCACTGTGGAGATAGAAAAATGAAATCGGTTCATGTGCGGGTACTAAATGGAGTGTTACATTGCAACACAATGAGAGATGCTGGATTGATCATGGCTGATTATGACGATGACAACACATCTCAACTTAATATATTGTAGCTCTACTACACAATAACCTCGTGTTGGGAAGAAGGCTAAGCATGTAATAATTAAGACATTGATTATGGTCACATACATTAGTAAAGTATGACCATGTGAATGAAGAATGAAGTAAACTAATAATATAATGAGAACTTTATTTTCAAGCATAACATTGGCAATGAAACAATAAAATTTAAATACATAAAACTCATGCTTAGTCGATTCAAATGTTCAGTTTTGACTGAAGTGGGTTAAAACGTTTAATAAACACCACAAATCAACAAATATCATAATCATAAAAACATTTTTTTATAAAGTAATAGTGCAGCTTTTTTCAATATTAGAATGCTGCTCAATATAACTCATATTTCAACAATTTCTCCACATTTTTCTCATGCCTAAAATGGCATAATAGTTAAAACTATTGGTACATAGCCAACCGTACTAATCGGAGGTGTAGTATTTCATTAAAGATCAGGGTGTTCATATTGTGATACACTGATATTTGCATTCTCATGCATAATTATGAGCAGGCTCTTTTTTTCTCAAGGGGCTCCCAGTCCTGAACAATCCATTTAGAGATATCCCACTAAAATAACATTCTCTATACTGTATTTTCATTCGGAAATGGCCCATTCAGTTGCACACAATGTGTCCATTACATTAACATCACAATTATTGCACATATTGAAAACACCTTACAACTATCTTAACGCTGCCTGAAACATGAAACATAGGCTAAAATGTCAGAAAATAGCCCGACAAAAAACAGCATGTATGCTCTTAAAGGCCATTTTCCCTACACTTATATTCTGTTATTTTCTTTTATAATACAATTTAATTCATTTAGTGATTTTTTTTTCATTCTTTATTTGCATACTAATACCAACAATTATTGTGGTAACATTTGAGGCATTTTAATAACACATTTTTTATGTTGGAAAATCAAAGCTTTTTGTAGAATTGGCCACAGAAATTCTCAAATACAAGCTGACAAGACTGCTCATTAAGGGAGCCTCAATTTTGTTTGGGGATTCCACTACAAAGTAATATATGCACATAATCACGTATATGCACGTACACATTTCCGCATGTTATTGCTACAGGTTTACATTTATGCAATTACATTCTAATGCATATGCATGATTGTGGAGGTACACAGTCAATCTTTCTTAAATACTATTACAGATCTGGGCATTGGTATTGCCAAGCTGTGTAGTATGTTTGATCGCGATAGTTTTCATGGAAGCATCTGAAATGTCCTCACATGGGTGGATGGACATTCCCTGGGCATCTCAAATAAGTAGCCTATCAGTTCCCTTAAACATTACACATACAATATGGAATCTGTGAGAAATGTGTCCTGTTGGGTGTCTTAGCTGGTTAATGGTACAGAAAAATGATCAAAAACAACATGCCAAACATACGTCTCAACATATATCAGTATCGGGTTATTTATTGACATTACAAACTAATGAGGTGGCATGACAAGCCAATTATTGACAGTTCTGTGATGATATATCATCTAATTTAGGAACATAAGTGCATGCCTTAAAGACTGGACATGTTACATATGTCATTAATCAATAGATACAAGTAAGATAATGATTATTATTTTAATTAAATTGACTCATGGGAAATCAATCTTGAGATGGAACTATGGGCATCTTCCCGAAAGCCATTACTATTCAAAGTTTCCATATTTCTAGTGATCTGCTCTTTATCAGGAAGGTACTAAGTTATAGGGGTGGAACGGTGTTGCACTATGAACCCGATGTCCCGAATTCGATTCACAGCCATAACTAACATCCTTGAGAAGATATATCAAAATCAGTTCTGCCCACCACCCATTCACTATCCCAACAATTTCCAGCATGGTTAAGTTGAACAAAAACCATGACTCAGATGGGAGTGGGAAAGTGTTGATCCATTGCTGGATTGAGAAAGGCAAAAAATTAAAACATTTAGCTAAAAATATCTAACATGTTTAATTCCAGTAATGTGAATCACAGCACCTTCGCTTGGTTTTTAGCTTAAGGTCACATTCTTGCAATGATAAGCATCTTGCAGGATTGTATTAACGGCAGACACATTTAACCTTTTCCAAAGCAGAATAAATGTTGCCATGTCTGTTTTTTTTTGTAAAGCTGTATATGTTATCATTTCATCAACATACCCTCAGTTTGACCACATATATAAAATCAATTGCAAGTCAAACTGGCACCTTGTAGAACATTTTAAATGTAACAAAAAAAATGTAGCAATAAAATCGAGCGTACAGTATATGTCACAATGCAGTGCAGTGGTTAGTGTGCAGCACTATGATTTCAGCAGCCTGAGTTTAATGTATGGCCATGGGTAACATCCGTGGTGAATGATATGTAAACCACTTCCAGAGGCCTCCTTCCGCACCGACCAGCATGGTGAAGTAAGGTGCTCCAACCCTCCCCCCCCATAACGATACCATCAACAGTGGATTAACAAAAGGCTTTGAAATATTTAAATTACTAAATCAAGTCTTTTTATCTAGAATATAATGGGACGACATGAATACAAATTAAATGCATTAATGTATGGCAAGAAACAATGTATATTAGCAATGTGGCTGTAAAACGATTCTTGTATATCGCAGTAACAACATTGCCTCTACACCACTGTATAGCAACTATCTATTCCATACATTTTATAATTTATAAGCCATTTCAGAGTACCACCGTGTGGATGTAGGGCAATTATATTAGCTCGTTTACAGGTGCTAGACAGATTGTTACATTGGTGGACCGCGGGAGATGGCGATGGCTTGGGAAGGCTGTAATCCAGCAGTGGATTATGGCCAATGATTATGAATGCTGCATATTCATATGAATGAAAAATAAAATGCAAGCAGTAACCGAATTACGCATGGCTGGGGACATCAATTGTAACCATAACTGCTTGTTATTAATATATTTCCCAAAAATTTAGTCTCATAACGTCACGTTACTTTTCCAAATACAATAATTAGTTTCGTTTGATTAGTGCATACATTCTAACATGAATTGGTTATTTATTTTTCAGTACTTTTTTTCGGAGAATTCTACTTTTAATTATTGTAATTGCTTGAATAACATTTTCATATTTGAAATACACACGCTGGTGTTTTTCCATTCCTGTGTCACTTAACTAACACATCAGTTATTGCAGGAGCAGTGGAAATAACACCATTCCACATATCAGGGCATGTCTTGTGTACCTTGGGCAGTGTCATTTGCAAAGCACTCCAGAATGCTGTGCGTGCTCGCCGTGTGGTCTGGTATAGTTCGCCCAGTGAGGAGGCAATAGCAACGATGTCTGAAAAAAAGTGTCAAAAGACATTTACTCACTTATAATAAAGGTTATTTTGGGTTAGATCGCTTAATATAAATGAGTCGTTAAACCCGACACTACACGACACAGCCAATTAATAAGGGTTGTCACGTCAGCAAAACGTGCCAATTAGTTACTACTTCAGCACACTGTGTTGGATCCACAACATTTACAATTTGAGTATGACATTTACTGTTTAACACGTAGGCTTCCGCGACTAATATCCATAAGAGGTTGTTTTTGGGTTAGATTGCTTAAATAGAAATGTGTCAGTAAATCCGCCATCACCCTAATTGTGGGCACTGCCCATTCCCCTGTTTACAGCCCTAATCCAGTGATGAAAACGTAATATTCCTATGATGGGGGATAGTCTATTCATTGGTCACCCACTTGATATAAGTTGAGGAAAGAATGTCTCTGTACATGAATAGACATGGTAAACAAGTGAAAGGTGCCTCTTTACTTAAACTTTTCAATTCATATATTGGCCATCGGACATGTGCAGCAACTTATCATGATTGTGTGGTCAATAATGTCACCTCTTTGCTCATTGCACGGTGGTGGAGTCTGCCTGTTTCTGCAGGCAATGTTGGACATCTCAACCTTACGGACGGTGTGTAAGCTATGAATGGCTTCCAGATGCCTGTCTAATGCTGTGGAGATATTGGCATGCAGCGGGGTGCTGCGTAAACGCTCCATCTTGCTCAGCAGGGCCACCACCTGGAATATAATATACATATGATTTAATATGCTGATTCTATCTTCATCAAGTTTCACCCCAATATGTTTCTACTGTATACCGAGTTTCTATGGACAATCGATAACTGTCAACGGTAGTCCACTAAAATTTGCCTGAATTCCAGTTAAAGGGTAAATCGTTTTAATTTTAAAATAAAAATTACAGGACAAAATAATTGAACAAACATTTTCAAACAGCTAGTTTTCCAATATTCATTTCTAGTTTCTTAAATGAGTATAAAGAAACCTGTAAATTTACAGCCAAGCACACAGTGACCTCACTCTGACACAACTTCCATGTTTTCATACACAAAATGTAAACATACTTGCACATGCCACTGTTGGTGGATGGGCCTCAACTAGAGACCGTCTCAAGGGATATATACCCAGATAGCCCCCTCTTATTTGGCCTACTCTTTCATGTTTCAATATACATACATCTTACGTTCTATCACGTAAACAAAGTTTCATTTGCAAGAAAAGAGCTATTTGTTTTTTATATTGCCTTTTCTTTAAGCTGCATGCAATTACACAACGTATTACATGCAAAGACAGACCTTTCCTTGCTCTTTCAACTGGTCCACAATAAGTCTGTCGACACGAGATGGATTAAATGGAAGTCGTGGCCCAGAGTATCCAACAGTGCTAGCCATACTCCGATTAGAATAGCACTGTGCCAACTCCAATTCGGCCTAAAAGTACCATAAAAAGATTAGTGACACACCACATGTTTTGTTTATTTAAATTAAATTGATTTGGTCTGCCAGCCCTGCCAAGGAGAACACGTGCCAAACACATACGTTTACATGTACAGTAATGTATACCATTTGTATTGACCAAATATTTAACAGTATATTGTAACTTTTTCTACAATGCCTATTTATATCCAAGTCTGAAAACACTCTATTGCAACCAACCAGAAGTATCGAATCATAAAACCAATCACACAGGAAAATTGTAAACATTGTAACTACTGTACTCTCCAAATTTCAGTACTAAATCCTTAACATCAATTATGGCAGAGTTTGGTATTATTGTAAGCTTGCTATTAGGATATCCTGGGTATTTAAGTAGTCCTATCATACATTTAGTGTCAAATCTTCATTGTAAAATGGATATAGTCTCATCATGGGACCTCCTTTGCCAGTACCAACATATGATAATAGAGTTTTCCCCTTTTTTATGGCAACAAAACAGGTGTTAAGATGTTAAAACACCAAACTGAAACCTTTAACAAGGAATCACGTCTGCATTAAGCACAATGCTTGTGGTCAGAATGCAAAAAAAAATACTCGGATAGTATATGCATTGTCCTTGAAACTGATTGATCCACACCAGAGACAGCTTTCTTTTGAGCCTCGTCTCAAACGGTGTTAGACCAGAGGACGCCAAAATGCCTTTTGGCGTCCTCTGGTCTAACACCGTTTGTCGTTTCCGCACATTGACAGCTACCACTTGGGGGTCTATTAGATAGCCTCCATCAGGATATTGAAATGGATGAGGTGAGATGTGATGGACGACTTAAATTTCCTGAGGCATTTAAGCACCTTATAAAATACAAATCCTTATTACCACCAACTCTAAATCTGTTGGCTAAAATGTGCTTTCGTGTCATGGAAGTAATGCACCGTGATAGAATGTGTTTATGACAGAAAACCTTTTTTCTCTCCTTTTCCAAAGCTCTCCACTGCTCATAGCAGGCCTCTAGCCAGAGGTGCAGCTGCAAGGATGGGGCAACCACATTCTTTGTCTGGTGGGGTGGCACAAACACTGGCACACCATATCCAGAAGGTGCCATTCTTGGGATTACATATTGATTTGATGTAAAGTATTGATTGCAGGGGTGTGAATCGGTATAGGAAAGTGGATTGTGCGGATCGAGTCTGATTCGTTGAGGTTGTGACAAAAACGGAGATCTCATTGGTGCGAGACTGTGATGGTAACCTCTCATGAGCTGTGGTTGAGGGAATGGTATGTGAGATACTTGATTTATTGGATTTTGGTCAGTCATAAGGTCCAGTGGTCCACAGTTTTCGGCAGTGAAATAACCAATGGGATTTCCATGGTTGTACAATTGAGGTGGTACCTCAATATTTTTTGAGTACATAAGAGATGAAATCGGGTTATAAGTACAGTTTGAGTAGTCACCAGGCACAGGAAGTCTCCGTACCCCTTGTTGCTGGGGCAAAAATCTAGACTGACCATATACATTATTGTTTACATGGTTTTGAAGCGTGGAGTCCATATGCTCCACTTGTGTTTTTGTACCTTCTGAACTCTGAAAGGTTGCCTTATTTGTAATCTCCGGGTACAGATAAGAATCATGTTCCTGTTTAACTGAAATAGAGGGGCCACTGGATCTCAATTGGGCCATCGATACTGAAGAAGATGGCTGAACGTTTCTATGTTTGGTCTGCATGGATTCACAGATATCTGAAGTCAACACTTCTTGATCCAATGAGTAATTTTCGTCAAGGTTCATGGAAGCTTGTCCAAACAATGATTGACCCAAATGATGTTGGAGGTTTGCCTGAGAAACATCTGTTGCTTTCCTGATTTCATTTACTTCATTATCTAATTGTTGGCACGAATGTTCTATTGTAGCCTGAGCCTCACTTTTATTGTGACAGTCTGGACAACCGATTTCTAGGGATTTACAATAGCTGGAATCGTCAGCATCTCGGTATTTGCCACCAACTACCTGATTGAATTCCTCATTTTCAGGTTGCTGTCCAAACACATCAAACGCATTTGCAACACATTCACCATTTGAATTAAAGTGACCATAATTATTTGATTTCTTCAGAGATAGAGACTGATCCAGCAGTGTTGCACTATTTGAAATGTACACTCCTTTACCAAGTTCTTCTTTGTTTTCTTGTATATTTGGATTTTGAAATGACAAATCTGTAAAATCATCTCCTTGTGGCCAATTATTTTCCAATGTATTCAAATGCGGGTCATTTATCCATGTACTTCCATTACTAATAGGGGCAGAACAACTATCGTTATCTTTTCTATTGTCACCATTAAATTCCCATGTTAAAGATGTGTTTTTGGCTTCATCGGGATGTTCTACATTGTTGTAGTTTGAGATAGAAAATTTGCTAAAGGGTGTCAGGGGTTCATTTGAGGTGTAATTTTTTTGCAATTCCTGTAACTTTTTATTCTGCCAAAATGGCATCCAGTTGGTTGGTGTCTCAATGCCCTGATTCAGATCTGTATTCAATGCATACTTGTTTTGATTTCTGTGGTACATCTCTTCTTGAATCTTACAAAATCCATTATTGGATTTCGTTGTATCTGTTGTTATATGGCTTGGCATAGACCAGATCGACCTGGAAAGACACAAAGCAAAATGTATGTAATTAAATTATAATTTGAAATTACAATACAACATGAAAAAACTATTTTACTTTACATTGGAATAAAACATTGAATAACAAAAAATATATTCTTTAATATTTCAGGACATAATATGACTGTAAAGATCATACTTTTCACAAGAAACGCAGTTTGCATCATTGCTCTCATCGAAGAGGTTGGAAACGATACACATAACATCAGTAACCCTGCTTATTGTATTACCTCAGTGTGGCCCGGGGTGAAAAAAAACACATAGGAAAATGTTATATAATGGAAAAGATGCAGACTTTCCGAGTACAATAATTATTATTGTACTTCATGTGCATAAATCTACCCACGTTTAATGGGACGTTTAAGATTACATTCATCCATGTCAAAGGTACCTGACATTTTTAAAAACAATTCTGAGGCCAACCTATCTCTCACACAATTGTTATTCATTCATAACATGAAATTAAGATTTCGTTTTCTCGCAGAAAATGTCTTTTTAAAAATGTTACTATGAAATAACACGTATTCTGTTTTGACTAAAACCACGATAAATCTTGGGTTCAGTATTATACAGGGTCATGATTAATGTAAAATCATTCCGAATATGGGATAACATGAAACATGTTAAACATGTTATTCTCATTCTAGATTTAAAGCTTTCGTGACAGCAAGGATTCATACTCTTAGGTTTTTTTCGGTAAAGTCACGTAGGGATAAACAAATAAAGAATAAAATAATGATAGAAATACAATTATAAATCACGACGTTTCGGGCGCAACACAAGCGTCCGTCATCAGGTGGGACAACCACAGCACGAAACAAATGCTGAAGTGGGCAAAAGAGCTGCTGTAACAAGGGGCTATATAGGTGTAGAGAGGGGGGAGGAGCCAAGGAGGATAGATAGAGGAGGGGGGGGAGTGGGCGGGGCTGGGAGTGGGAGGAGGAAGACACTGGAGATGCGCATATCATCCAAAAACCCCCCTAATCTCAGCCAACCCACCCCCCTAAACTCATCCAAACCCCCCCTAAACTCAGCCAAAAGCCTCCTTCATATGCGCATCTCCAGTGTCTTCCTCCTCCCACTCCCAGCCCCGCCCACTTCCCCCCTCCTCTCCTCCCTGGCTCCTCCCCCCGTCTCTTACCTATATAGCCCCTTGTTACAGCAGCTCTTTTTCCCACTTCAGCATTTGTTTCGTGCTGTGGTTGTCCCACCTGATGACGGGCGCTTGTGTTGCGCCCGAAACGTCGTGATTTATTATTTTATTGATTTTAATATTTTATTATTTATTTACTTTTACCTACGTGACTTTACCGAAAAAACCTAAGAGTATGTTATTCTCAGTGGGAAAGAAAATAGAGAATTGTGTTTATAAACAGTACATCTCTACAAAGGTTTTTTTTTTAACCAACGTAAAGTTAATAGGACAACTTGCTTCATAGCAAACCTGAGTTTATCAGCTGCTGATGGTTCTACAACTGATATAGCATTATCCTCACTCTCTGACCAAGAGCTGGTGAATGTGCTTCTTGAACTCTGGTTTTGAGGGCTATATGAAGGAGAGTAGATCGTGGAAGAACCATTCCCTTCATATGACGATGTTTTCATCTGTCAAAAGGAGATCATGCAAATTTGACAAACAAAATATTCAAACAAAGGTACATGATGGTATAAAATAAACACAAATATAAATTTGGTGTAAGCTGTTTTGTTAGTATCTTTATGACCCCCCCCCCCCAATCCCATAGAATTGCAAATACTACCTAAAATCAGGATTGGTCATATGAGAGCATTTTGAAAGTAACTTTGTAAAAACGGATTTTACAGTAATGTTTTCTCTCTCTAATACTTGTTCTTTGAATTATTAATAAGAATACGTGGTAATTTGCATGAAATACATGAAGCTATGTTTCTCTCGTACTGTACTGTATAAAATGACAAACTGAGGGAAATTGTGGAACCATACACGGGACAGATATTCACATGTCCTTATATTTTTCTCCAAACAACTACATTTGTAGAGGAATACAACAGTATACTGAATTATACTTCATAATCAGAATCGTTATTTATCTTGGAGAAATCCGTTGAGCTATGAAGCTCTTTTGCACAGATGTGCAGCATCTTATGATGTCCAGCATCTTATGATGTCCAGCATCTTATGATGCAAGATAGAATTTAGAGGGCTACAATTACACACTGATAACGATAACTGCTGAAACAAAAACATGCATAGAATGGCCTGCCCAATATTATATTTTGAAAATGTGAAATGAATGCGAACATGCAACATTTGTTGCACTTAAGTTTGTTGCCCCTGCACCTCCGATTAGTACGTTTGGCTACGTACGGTGCGAAAGAAGTTTAACATACATACTGCCCATAGACTAACACTACCCATAGACTCAACACTGCCCATAGACTAACACTGCCCATTGACTCAACACTACCCCATAGACTCAACACTGCCCCATAGACTCAACACTGCCCCATAGACTCAACACTGCCCCATAGACTCAACACTGCCCCATAGACTCAACACTACCCATAGACTCAACACTGCCCCATAGACTCAACACTACCCATAGACTAACACTGCCCATAGACTCAACACTACCCATAGACTCAACACTACCCATAGACTCAACACTACCCATATACTCAACACTGCCCATAGACTCAACACTACCCATAGACTCAACACTGCCCATAGACTCAACACTACCCATAGACTCAACACTACCCATAGACTCAACACTACCCATAGACTAACACTACCCATAGACTAACACTGCCCATAGACTCAACACTACCCATAGACTCAACACTACCCCATAGACTCAACACTGCCCATAGACTCAACACTGCCCATAGACTCAACACTGCCCATAGACTCAACACTGCCCATAGACTAACACTACCCATAGACTCAACACTGCCCCATAGACTCAACACTGCCCATAGACTCAACACTACCCATAGACTCAACACTGCCCATAGACCAACACTGCCCATAGACTAACACTGCCCATAGACTCAACACTGCCCCATAGACTCAACACTACCCATAGACTCAACACTACCCATATACTCAACACTGCCCATAGACTCAACACTACCCATAGACTCAACACTGCCCATAGACTCAACACTGCCCATAGACTCAACACTACCCATAGACTCAACACTACCCATAGACTCAACACTACCCATAGACTCAACACTGCACATAGACTCAACACTGCCCATAGACTAACACTACCCATAGACTCAACACTGCCCAGACTCAACACTATCCATAGACTCAACACTACCCATAGACTCAACACTGCCCATAGACTCAACACTACCCATAGACTCAACACTGCCCATAGACTCAACACTACCCATAGACTCAACACTACCCATAGACTCAACACTGCCCATAGACTCAACACTACCCATAGACTCAACACTACCCATAGACTCAACACTGCCCATAGACTCAACACTACCCATAGACTCAACACTGCCCATAGACTCAACACTACCCATAGACTCAACACTACCCATAGACTCAACACTACCCATAGACTCAACACTACCCATAGACTCAACACTGCCCATAGACTCAACACTGCCCATAGACTCAACACTGCCCATAGACTCAACACTGCCCATAGACTCAACACTTCCCATAGACTAACACTACCCATAGACTCAACACTGCCCCATAGACTCAACACTGCCCATAGACTCAACACTACCCATAGACTCAACACTGCCCATAGACCAACACTGCCCATAGACTAACACTGCCCATAGACTCAACACTGCCCCATAGACTCAACACTACCCATAGACTCAACACTGCCCATAGACTCAACACTACCCATAGACTCAACACTGCCCATAGACTCAACACTACCCATAGACTCAACACTGCCCATAGACCAACACTACCCATAGACTCAACACTGCCCATAGACTCAACACTACCCATAGACTCAACACTACCCATAGACTCAACACTACCCATAGACTCAACACTACCCATAGACTCAACACTACCCATAGACTCAACACTACCCATAGACTCAACACTGCACATAGACTCAACACTGCCCATAGACTAACACTACCCATAGACTCAACACTGCCCAGACTCAACACTATCCATAGACTCAACACTACCCATAGACTCAACACTGCCCATAGACTCAACACTACCCATAGACTCAACACTGCCCATAGACTCAACACTACCCATAGACTCAACACTGCCCATAGACTCAACACTACCCATAGACTCAACACTACCCATAGACTCAACACTACCCATAGACTCAACACTGCCCATAGACTCAACACTGCCCATAGACTCAACACTGCCCATAGACTCAACACTACCCATAGACTCAACACTGCCCATAGACTCAACACTACCCATAGACTCAACACTGCCCATAGACTCAACACTACCCATAGACTCAACACTGCACCCTATTAGCACGGCTGGCTACGTACGGTGCGAAAGAAGTGGGTTAAAATTGAGTGACAAAAATTGAGGATACAACAACAACAGAGTGAGTTCATAGAAAGCGTGTAAAAAGATAGTTTAACATTGTTTATTTTTTGATAGAATATAGTCTTGTCATCAGTATGACCTAGTTTGCATTCGACGTCACATTGGGAAGTGAGTTAAAACTGAGTTACAAGATTTGAGGATACGACAACAACAACAAAACAACGACAACACAACAACAACAGAGTGAGTTAAATAAAAGCGTGTACAGTAATAATAAACAATAAACAAAGAGGCAAGTTGTGTAAAGGGACGAGCGACTTTGATGAGCTCCCCTCTGAGGCCGTCATTCAGCAGTGGATAGACCACGGCCGGTGAGGAATTTGTGCGAAAATTTTAACCTCCGTTTGGCTAAATACTTTGTTTTTGTTTACTTAGATGTCTTATGTTAATGGTTGTAGTATTACATCATGGAAACAGAATATTTTAACGAATGTTATTGCATAATGTTGTATTACCGCTTTAAAACAATGTGATGCAATGCCGTTATTTACGTAACTTTATTTATGTACAGATGAATTGGTACCCACACTTACAAGAAGGTCAATTGAATCCAATAACATTACACCACACTTGTCTATACAATTCTGATAGCTTAAAGCGTAAAAACTTCACTTTGTAATGCGAACGACTCGATACGCGCATTCTATACACAACACAACGGGTATCTCTCTCTCTCCGGCCTTAGTAACAACCCGAATTTACCTTAAACTTATCCGCGTCACCTCCCTCGTGCTCGGGACATGAATTCACAAACATCGTGAGCTGTGTGATTCTAAATGTTTGTGTTTTAGTGTTTTTGTTGTTGTCGCTTCTTGTTGTTTTCTGAGGGGGGAAAAGCGCGGCCCCAACCGTCACCTGCAGGGGGCGCGAGACCTGGGCGAGGGGCGGGGTAGGGGGGTGAGGGGCGGGGTAAGGGGGATGAGGGGCGGGGTAAGGGGGATGAGGGGCGGGGTAAGGTGGGTGAGGGGCGGGGTAGGGGGGTGAGGGGCGGGGTAAGGTGGGTGAGGGGCGGGGTAGGGGGGTGAGGGGCGGGGTAAGGTGGGTGAGGGGCGGGGTAGGGGGGTGAGGGGCGGGGTAAGGGGGGGTGAAGTTAAGGGTGGGGGTGAAGATGGGAGGCGGGAGAAGGCAAGTGAGGGGAGGGGCTGGGGGGGGATTGAGGGGCGGGGGGTGAGGATGGGAAGTGGGAGAAGGAAAGTGAGGGGAGGGGCTCGTGGGGATTGAGGGGAGGGGCTGGAGGGGGATTGAGAGGCGGGGGTGAGGTTGGGAAGCAGGAGAAGGAAGTGGAGGGGAGTGGTGATGGGTGAGAAGGGTTTGGTGCTGCGGTGCGAGTGAAGAAGTCGTAGATGGGAGGGGAGTGAGAGGGGAGTGGGAGTGAGATGGGAGGGAAGTGGGATGGGAGATGGGAGAGGATTGGGAGATGGGAGGGGAGTGGGATGGGAGATGAGTGGGAGTGAGATGGGAGTGGGAGTGAGATGGGAGGGAAGTGGGAGTGAGATGGGAGAGGATTGGGAGATGGGAGTGGGATGGGAGATGAGTGGGAGTGAGATGGGAGGGAAGTGGGATGGGAGATGGGAGAGGATTGGGAGATGGGAGGGGAGTGGGATGGGAGATGAGTGGGAGTGAGATGGAAGGGGAGTGAGATGGGAGATCTTGAGAGGGGAGTGGGATGGGAGTGGGAGAGAGATGGAAGGGGAGTAAGATGGGAGATCTTGAGAGGGGTCTGGCCAAAATGTTCGGTGGGCATGGAGGGGATGGGAAGGTGAAAGTCATTTCACGATTAATCTGTATTGTTGCTCGCTTTTTCGGCCTTGTTTGTTCAGTTCGATTATCCGTTCCGTTGGTCTCAATGTAACAAGACCAAGTCCAGCTCTTCTTTGAATCCACGGCTGGATTAAGCCCCATCCCATGCCAAGTCAGTCATGGTGGTTGTTTGACCATACTTCTCCACGTTGGCGAGTGCAGGGGTGAAGGTGGCATACCCGGTTCAGATAACACTTGCCGATGAGTGTTTTCATACCCAGCCAGGATGCGAACCATTGCACCGCCCTGGTCTCCACTCCGGATGTTGCCAACCACCCATCATCGACATCGCAGCGCTCACCAGCGATTGAGTTGGGGACGAGAACGCAGGTCGCTGGGTTCACCGGGCAGTATGCTAGCCACTGCGCCACAAACCTTGAATGTTTATTAATTCGCGAACGCACAATTTAGATAAATCGATGCATCATCACAAGCCTGAAGGATAAGGACGCACCATGTCCTTCACGCGCCTGTTCTCCACGTGACAGGATCTGGCTCCTTTGTTACAGAGTTCCACTGCAGTACCTCGTGACGAATTCGAATTGCAGTTCGGAAGCTGTAAAACCTTGCATAAAAGCAGATGACCAAACAACTCCGCATGCACCCGATCCCTCGAGCCAAGCAAAGTTGAGTCTGGATAGTGGTTGGGATGAACACCAAGCAGATTTGTGAGAGGCTGCTGTAAAGCGATGTAGTTGACAGCACAGGGCAGTTCAGCAAAATCGATTGCACCGTACTTCCAACGTTCTCCATTCACCAACCAGCACTGATGAGTAATGTACCATATATTCAAACAACCCTCTGGAGCCGTACAATGTAGGTTCTCATCCAGCAGCGGATTGACACGTGACACGTGCAAGTAAGCATGCGTCAAGTGACACGAACAGGTCGCTTCTGAAAAAGCGAATAGCTTAATTGGCTTTACCTGGTAAAATAATAAGACGCTTCATCATTTGCTTACCTTTTCTGGACCTTGCACCTCTTTGTCGTGTTTTTGTATGTTTGCTATAATGTTCTGACCTGCCCCTACTGGACATCTGTGAAAAAGAGCTTCATAGCTCATCGGATTCCTCCAGTATAAACATTCTGATTCCAATACTTTTCTTGTTTGATCCTTGTCACATTGACAGCGTCAAACTTCCCACTGTTGGGCAAAGGCCAAATTTCCCACTTGGGCAAAGGCCAGCAGTGGGAAGTTTTCCCTCCCCTCAATATTCTTACAATCCTTAATTTCCTATCTTTTTCCCAGCAATGGCCTCTAAACTCTCGATTGTCACGCTGACATCTGTCTTCCACTGCTTCTTTAGCCAACTTTCGAGTATCCACTACATAGCGAGTCAATTTTGTCAGTCATCTTTCGTCGGCTGTTTCCATGACGCGCTCTGTCCATCGAGTTTATTTATTTTGCTTTGGCAACAGCATCGGTGACTCCTATTGTATTCCTTCATTCTTCAGTCCTTCAACGGACTCCATACACGACGTTTATTCCTCAGGGGTCGTTGGATAACGGGAATGGTCGCCAATCTTCTAGCTCTACCAAACGCCAGGGGACTTGTGATCAGACGGAGGTCCTCCTCACACAACTAAACACGATACAACATGCATATTGATACAGATGTTCAGAAAAAAAGGCTAACTTTTATTGTATCATGTTCAAAGCAATGTGAACAGCACATTTTACAGATTTGTGTTTGACAGCAGTACGCGTCATTGACTTAAGCGAGTTTTTCGCTCAAAGTGATTACGTTTTTTAGATTTTCCACCTTTCAACCAACACAAGAACCATTAGCTTGATGGACACTTCTTAAATAACATTTCAATGAAATCTTCTAAAACAATAATTTTGTAACAAAGTAATGCAAATTAAAACTTAGGTTCTGAAAAAGCCTGATCATTTCAGCGTCTTGCAGAAAAAACACAAAACAAATGAAACTCAAACGTTTGTTTGCTCTAGAAATTCTAACATGTGATTAACATTCTCTTAATTTACGGAATGTGGACCATTTAAAACCAATTTTAAATATACATACCATGCCTTAACTCAAAATGCAACGGGATACATTTAGAAGACAGTAGATGTGATGGTTAAACAGCTGAAAGAGCAACTTCCTTTATTCGGTCTTTGCTTGCTTTGCTTTCGGCTCCGAAGTCGGTTCACTTTCCAAGGGTCTCTTCTTCGACTCTGCGGAATACGAGTGGCCAATGGAAAAAAAAATTCACGAAAGAAAAAACATGCGCCCTGCAAGGATTCTGCAACACTTTCCTTGCAAGCATTTATCCATCGGAAGTATTTAAATTCGCGATCACGGTATGAAACAAGGAACATAAAGAACTGTCACATGTCATGACAGGACATGAAATTGAATGATGTAATTTCATGTCACTGCCTTGGCAGGCAAGGTTAATTATTTTAGCGCTGGGTTTTTATCGCCATGTCTTGGACAAGCCTTAGTGTCAATTTGTCCGATTTTCTAAAGGGTAAGTCCATAACAGCAACCCGACTTACGAGCGTTGAGACCCCATTTTACAGAGACGATGAGAGCCAGTACATTAATAATACTTTTAATCTCATCAATACGTGAGTTGGAAGAATTAAAAATGATACATTGGTCAAACCACTCTTCATACAATACAAAGGCAACTTACTTGTCACGGTTGGCTATGGATAGTGCGAAACATACATTCATACATGGGATAATTAATCATCTCTTACCTGCTGCATCATCACCATCTTCATCGTCACTTTCGAACTTTGTCTTTTTGCCCTGGAACTCTCTGTTGTCCCTCCGTCCCCCACGCCCTCCTCTGCCGCCACCTCCTCTTCCTCCGTGGTTACCACCTCGCCGGCCTGGAGGAAAATAATGATCTCAGGTCAGACTCTCGTTATCCATTTGCCAAAATGAACAATTAAGCATGTATTGATTAATCACCTCTGCTGGCGATCCGATTAATTGTTACGATTAAGAGTTAAGGATGTGATATGGAAAAAAAAGACGCGATTCTTTTGTCTTGATTTTGTAATGGCATTTGAAGTGTCGTTTGGGGGGCATCCTGGAAAACTCGGCTACCAATAAAACATTAAGTGTACGGAAAGTAGGCTTCTAAGAGGTGGAATGTAGATGAAAAAAGTTAAATATTAAAGATCTTCCAGGTGTTCCGGTTTCCTCCAATCTGCATAAAACATGTATTAATTAAATGAAAACATCTGAATATATATAATTGCAGAGCTTGGGAATGTTGGCGCCGACTCGCCACCAATGCAGAACTGTCCTATGAAAATGCCGGACGTGTAATCAAAACGATAAAGCGTAGGCCTTGCGCTCCCCTTACCACCACTGCGGGTGACGCGACGCTTGTTCATGGTCTCCTGCTGCTCCTTGAGAAGGCGGATCCACACCTGACGCGCCGCCTCTCCCTCCAGCACCTCCCACGTCACGTCACGTCCACGCAGCCGCAGTGGGACCGCGGCCGTAGCTACAGGCGCAGCTGTAGCTGCGGGCGCCGCCGCCGCCTCCACCACTTCACCGCTCTTGTCTTTTGCCTCTTCCTTTAACGGGTTTAAAGGGTACCGGAGTTAATTCAAGTACTGCAACACGGACTCCCTGATTGATGGCAGTGACTGTGGTCCCAAGAGACGCCAGTGACATTCATGAGCTTTTCCAGCCATGATCAATCCTCTGCTGGATTATGGCCTGCTTCAAACAGTTTAAGGGGTATGAGTTCATTACAGTACAGTACTGCAATGCTAACTCTGCTTAAGTATGAATGTGTAAAACAATTTAAACACGAATTTAGCATTACATATTGCACATGAAATTTGATAAATGAAATCAAATGTTAGGAAGGTACCAAAAATTACAAAAAATGTCAACACCTTCTCTGTTGTCTTGGGTTCCTCTCCCTTGGACTTTTCTGTGGTTTCCCCCTTTTTCTCCACTGCTAGCTGAGCAGCAGAGGCCCGCTCCAGTGCCCCTTGTGCATCCGTAGTCAAGCGCACAAAACCCTGCGGAACGAGGCGATGCAGGTGAAGAAAGAGTAACATTTAAACAATAGCTGGTTTAAAAAAATAAAATACTATCTTTACCCCAGGCCATGAGACAAAGTGCCCATTCAAATTGCTCACAGAGCAGTGAGGTGTTGTTTGACATTATTGTATGCTTAAGATACACTACTGTACAATATTTGAAAAAGCTGAGTTATCAACCTTTTAAATGCATACATTTGTAGAGGATGATATATGGTCTGCATGAACCACCAACACTGGCTTTCAACATTGAGCAATGCAATGCGTGTGCCACCATGCCTGGCCCAATCGGAGTTGACATAGGGGAGCGGTAGTTTAGTGGTTATCACACTGCAATACGAAACTAGTCCCGCTCACGACCAACATCAGCGACGAATATATGAACTGGTCCTGGGCATTCCCACGGTTGACAGCCTAAAATGAGTACCTGGTGCGATGTGTAAACATCAGCACTGGGGAGACAAAGGCAGCAGGTCATGGCGCTGGTCACCCACCCCCTCGGGTGCCAGCCTTAATTACTTGCTCAGTAATAGCACTTGCCCCAACAACCTGTTTAAGGCGATACTGGGGATCTTTGCATTTCTCAATCTATACAATCTATTGCATAAAAAAAACTAAACACACGCATCAAAACCGACTCAAACATACAATACAATGCATCCATCATGGTGTCTCTGTGTTTATCGCATCTATCATAAGAATTGATTAACTGACAAATTGTTAGAGCCTATCCAATACCTCCTTGGCTCCACGTGCAAAGTCAATCCACTTGATTTGTCCGTGGCCTTTGAAAACTTCCGTTATATCCTCGCGGCTTGTGAAGGAATCCAAATCGCCCGAAAACTTGAGCAGGCAGCCTTCCTGGAAATTAAGGTTTTTCTGAAAATGCAAAGGGATGTTATTATTATGAATCACGGGTGATAATCGATCATTGAACACAGGCATGAAAAGGCAAGGGACCAACAACAACAACAAATAGCAATTTTAAATCTTGACTTAAAGCTTTCGTGACTGCAGGAATTAATATTCTTTGGGTCTTTCGGTAAAGTCACATCATTAGAACAATAAAATAATAGAAATAAAGTGAATAAAAACATTTATTATTTTATTGTTCTATGTGACTTTACCGAAAGACCCAAAGAAGATAAGCGTTACTTACTGTATTCTCCAAATTATAAAACCCACTCTGATCAAGAGACATGCATATTCTTTTGTCAAGGCACTCTTTTTCCCCCTTCCAACCCAGCTTATATATATGCTCCAAGCACGTGTGCTGTTTCATTCAGACGCTGTCGCCTCGACAGACCTGGTTATCACCTGAGGACGGCTGCTTGCGTTGTGGCCGAAACATCGTGAGAATTTTTTTATGTTTTTATTATTTTATTACTTCCCTTCTACGTGGGTTTACCGAAAGAACCAAGAAGATGAATCCCTGCAGTCACGAAAGCTTTAAATCGAAACTTGTATATTATTTGACAAAAATAAAAAATATTTCAAACAAGGGGTGGACCGCTTAGCGCACTGCGCTATGAACCCAGTCACCCGAGTTTGATTCCGGGCCATGGCTAACATTAGTGGCGAGTGATATTTGAATCGTTCCCAGCCATACTTGTGGGGCGAGGAGGCCCTCATCCAGCAGAGGATTGACAAAGCAGTGCTAAATGTAAAAATACAATTGATAGGAATGTGGAACATCAATAACGGAGGAAAATGATATGCAACACAATGTGATTCCTGAAAAAAAACTCATTGACAAGTTAACAATACTTACAAATTCTTCATCATCTTGTTTTGTCTCACTTTCTTTAGACAGCTTATTTTGCAGTTTCATCTCCTTCTTCTCGTCCTGTTTCTTTGCAAAGTACGCTGCCCTAGTAGAGAGCGACAAAGCATTTACACAAGCCAGGAACTTCAACGCAATACAGTCCAGCTATTAGCGCGAGTAGGTTTGGTACTGTGCATTGTCCGTGCCAAGTTGAGGATGCCATGATACAATAGAAATGTTCACAACGTTACAATCATCCTGATGATCCTTTCCTATAATTTGTAATAGTATTTCACAATTTCTCTGCAATGTGTTTTTTGCTTTGCTGTATTTTCCAGCACAAATAAAGATGACTCAAGTTCTTCAACTGCAGTTCACTCAACATAAGCCTGCCATAAATATTTGAATTATTTCAACTTTGACACCTATAACCGCTGTGAATGCACATGCTGTAGTTACATAAAATAATTTCACTACTAAAATGGTAATATAAACCACATGCTGTCAATTATTCTGGAATTTATCTTGCAAACAACTAATTTAAGGGGTAATAGCTACTTCATGTAAACTTACATTATAGTGCTTTTGACTATTTTACCAAGATATAAGAAAGGTAAATAAATGTATAGGAGCCACGATAATGACGGTACAATGTTATTTTATGATACAATTCGATTAATCGTCAACTATACATCGCACAACAAATGTCAAAGCAAGCTTAGCATTCAGCAGAAAGAGCTACCCCCCGTACTTGGTTAACAAAAAGCTCAACACGATCATCAACAACACTGCCTTGACAAAAATATATATTTGGTGATATTTCAGGCAACGGCCGTTCTTCATAGCAAATAACGAGTTGATGTTGCTGTACATTATTTGTAGCAGCATCTGCAAATAACACCTCTCAAGCCCTTATCAGTGCCTACCTTATTACAGACCAATTCAGACCTTATTGGTCACCCCGTGCCCTTATACATTTCAACATTCATCTTACAAAGTCCCATCACAAGGGAGAAATATAAACAAAAAGACCAAAAATGTTGCCCGTATTGAAATGGCAGTACGACATATGGACCTGAAAACTCAATTCCTTTGAAAAAAAATACGGGTAAACCGTATGGGTTGACAAGTATGACGTTTAATTTTTCATAGGCACTATTAACTATCTTGGTAAGTTTCAATGTGCAACTTTACAGCAGTACAGATTAAGACCAGTATTATTGACGAGCGTGTTTTGTGCTTGTGCACCACTGCAGCAACAGCATCATCCACGTAGTTTTCTTACTTGGTTAGAACAATCAAATCGAGGTCCTTGTACTTGTGGTCAGGTAAGTCCACAAACTTCTGCGCGTTTTCCGCGGTGTCAAACACTGCAAAAACGGATCCCTGAATACACAAACACAAGTGCACAGGTTAAAGGTTATAATTTTTCAAACAGATAACTTTTTGCACAACAACTTGGAATTGATCCGAAGACATTTTTCATACCTTGAATTTCTTCTGCATGTTCCTCCTGAGGTGAATATTTTCTACTTTGCTGGTCGCTCTGTTTTCGAACCACTCCTTGATTTCATCCAGACCAACTTCCAAGGGAAACCCTTTCTGCAAAGTGAAACAAAAAATGAACAAGCTTGTCGTCGAGTAAAGTGGGCAGGTGGGCCATAAATGGGTACAACTGCAGAGTTAGTCCATCGGCGGGGTAAAATGTGGGCGATCCCACCTCTACCAAGACGTCTGGGCAGTGTGGAAGAGTAGGCCACATTCCATCAAAATGTGGTTGTCTAGAGCTCCCTCTCATCGCGGCCATTCTAACAGCAGCGGCTCAAGCAAGCACTTGCAGGGCTGTACATTTACCCTTTAACCTTGTACTTCTTCTGTAAACATTTTTTTTATCGATTTATGTATAAACAAACATTAAAAAATTAGTAGGTATGAATTTTGTCGATGACGCACAAAATGGGTTTGCAGAAGTTGTGAATACGTTACCACGTAGATGGAGGAGCCCTTGATTGACTCCTTGAAGGCACTGGCTTCTGGGATGGGCAGCTCTGGCTTACGACGGATCTTCGTGTCGTCTTCGCTAACCACCAGGAGGTCGTTGGGCGACAGTTTCACCGCGCTCGCTATCACCGCAAAGTCCTTCGACAGGGCGGAGAGCCTCAACACATTGACGACAAAGGACGAAGAAAATAAATTAAAATCTATTCCCGCAATCAAATCTCAATCGTCAATCATCAACGTAACCAAACAATGTATAACAATCAATAGATTTATGGATATTTTTGCCGAATGCTTCACTACCCATCACCAGAAGTGTTGCATAAATATAAAAGTAACTTTTTTCCAAAATTAAATATTACGTGGCAAATCGATCCTACCGAAGATTTGATCAATTGTCACCATGCATGTTTAAGAATTCATGTCACAATATTGTTTGTTCCCTTCGTCCCATATCATCTCCATTATGTAGTATATGCGGTCCTGTTCGTTCTATTGCTCTATGAAGGATTCCATCGTTAAACAGGCCACATCACTGAGGAGGCTTTTTGACCACACTTCACAATGCTGGTCAGTTCGCATTGATGAATGTGATGTCCAGGAGCAGCCCGGATATCACTTTCTGCCGACGTTAATTAGCTGTGGCTGTGAATCAAAGCTTTTTGGCTTGATAGCCCATCGTTCGGACCTCAATTGGCATACTATAATCAGCTATGCTCAATAAACTGCTGGATAAGTGTCTCCAAGCCATACCCATCTCTCACGGTTCTGCGATGTAGCTATCCACTCAGCACCTGCATCCAATACGATTTCATCACCCGATCTCAGTAGAACTGGCATGTGAATGAAAAAAACGATGTTAATTCTGCGGAATGTAATCCGTACTATTCATAGACAATTAAGTGTTGAGTTGGAAGTTACCTGTTAAACTTGACCAGAGTCTCAAGTGGTATCCAGCCATCATCCAGCTTCAACTGCTCCTGCATGAATTTGTCTCGCACCAAGTTGTGGTTCCCAAAGTAATACTGCAACAAGAAACGTAATCGAATCCTACATCATTGCAACAAGGGTCATGACGTTCATTCACGACAACAGACGGACTTGCTTATTCGTTAACTATTTATCTGTTAACAATCTCCAATGATTGAATATGAGCACAAGCTAATGTGAGAGGACATCATGAAATAAACGAAAAATGTTCAACCTGGAGTTGCCCCTCAATGGAAATGTGTTGGGATAGATATAAAAGGTAATACTCGAATGCATTTGTATATGTCAATTTCATGACAGCAATTCTATTAGTAAAATTTACTCCCTAACGTTTAAACAATGTCAGCTTCTGTGAAAAATGTTTCTGAAAATAATTCGAGAAACTCATGCGTTGTTGTGGAAGATTATACCCCGTGTCTCCACGAACACGCATTACTCTGCTGACGAGCGAGACTCAGAAGGCCAAAACTGGTCCCGACTTTGACAGCTTAAAAAAACGATCTGCTCAGAATAACAAAACTGGTCCCGAGTTTGACTGCTTAAAATAACAATCTACAGTACTTGCTATTAGTCTGGAAAGCCATTCGGCCGAGGAACTAAAAACAGATGTTATGTATGTGTGGACGTCAAGAATAGACCTGTGCTTATACAGTAATTGCTTTCATGTGATAATCAGGCTCATCACCTCAATCTGTGTGTAGATTTTCTTTTGAAGGTCTGTGGGTTTCTGACTGCTGCCATTCGCTTCCATCTTGGGTGCTGCGGCAGAAGATGAGCAATTTACACCGACGCACACGTTTAGCATGTCATTATCTCTCGCGAGGACGACATCCCTAAAATAAATGCGTTTTGATTTACAAGCCGTCCGAATAGTCGGGCAACACGCGGTACACATTCGAGAGCCGTGTTAGCAGCACAACAGCGAACGCCTATGAAGTGCATGACCATACTTGACGCTGGTCAGAGCGTGTCGGACAAGTAAGCAGGACAGCAGCACAGATTCTTAAATACAGTCGTTACTATAACAGGACTATTATAATTAGTAACACACAAATGTACAGATTAGTAACACACAAATGTACAGATTAGACGCTACAGCATAACGCCATCCACGTGCTCAGGTGGGGAGGAAGCGACGTCAGAACATATTCTTCTAATTTAACAATTACTCTATAATATACACTCATATACTGTATACCGCATAGCGAAACCACAATTTTAAACAAGACAATGATGCGGATGCCACCCACGTGTTGCCGTCGAGGAAGGGCGGATCTGAAGCAGGTCAGTCTATAATAACGCGATAGCGCAATAACGTTACGTACTTTCTTCACTATTTGTATTACAAATCGCTGTCGGACAGCGAACCTTGCGAGTTATAAATCCAAAGGCGATCCGAAGTTTAACTGCGTCCGAGCTCTCGCCCCACGTGCAAGGGCCGCCGCAAGCCACCAGAAACACGTGGCCTTGCACAGAAATTATCAATCTTACAAAAGTCTCCTTTAAAATCGCACTTCTCACCTTTCTGCGGAACGACGCGTAGGCTGTGTGCGAAGGTAGAAATGTTAAATATTCGGAAGTTTGAACGTGAACCGACTTGTTTGTTTTACAAAGGACCAAGTTGAACCGCGCGATTATCAAAAACAACCACTACTACCACCACGATACGAAGTAGCGACGCAGAAGCCACACTGCGCATGCGCCGACACCGTGAACTTTGAACTCTGCAAGCCGGGTGAATCGATTGTAATAGATTCCAAAACTCAGCTCGATTCCTACGCTCTCGATTCACGTGTAAATCGAACGTGTGAATCGATTATTACACACAGTATGAACCAAAAAGCATTTGAAAAAAAATTAACCCGTAAAAACAAAGTTCTTCACTATAAATCCTTTATATGCGTGGCATCGGTTTTATTTTATTATTCATTTTTGTTTTTCTTGAGTAAGAGTTTCATTTTTATCACATTGGTATTTTAAATTAAATATGACATTTTTTTTTCCTAAAAAGTGGAAAATTTTGGAATTGTTTTTCACGAAAATAAATTGTCACGCACAACGAGTATGTGTGCAAAATGTCAGCTTGATTGGATCACGGGAAGTGGGTTAAAAAACGACCGAAAGATTTGCACGGTCGTAAGCGCGCAAGCAAGCAAGCAAGTGAACTTAATATAAAGGATTTAAAAAGTGATGAAAAATTATAAAAACAAATATATTATTCAACATGGTATATTGCAAAAGGTTTAAATATGCGATGAAACTAACACAAAATAGGAAATAGATTAGTTTTTTTAAATAATCGATAATTTTTTCGTGGCCTTTTGACACAGCAGTGAATTGAATACATTAGTGTGAAATGTCCAGTTTGTTTTATTATTGCGGTTATGTTGGTAACGATTAATCGATACATCGATCACAAATGCATAACAGTGCTCACGACAGACGCATATATTCATAACGTGACGAATTCGATAACTTTCTGACCATACTAAAAACCTCTGTATAGTTACAGCCTTTGTAAGCGAATCGTCAAGAAGTCTAAAGTCTTCCGAAATTCGTCTGGCCAGCCAGCATGGAGTAGTAGACCAAATACCACTCGAGTCAACCCATATGGTTTACCCACCCGTATTTTTGCACAGGGAAATTGAGTTTTCAGGTCCATATGGCGTACAACAGTTTCAATATGGGCTACAAAAATCTAATTGTTTGTTTCTCCCTTGTGATGGGACTTTGTAGAATGAACGTTGAGATTTATAAAGGGCACGAGGTGACCAATAAAGTCTGAATTGGTCTGCAATAAGGTAGGCATTGATCAGGGGTTGACAGATATCTAGAAGGGTTGACTAAAGTTCCCTCTATTGGGTAGTGAGACTAACTATTGTTTAACTTTTTTGTAACCAGATAAGGCCCCCACAGAGCTTTAGAGATTTTCCTTTTCAAAAGTGACCTGGCTATCACAAATAATGATAGTTCGACGAAGTGGCTTATCATCCGCGTGGAAATGTATATAGCAGCCAAATACTCTAAACGTCCTGTGGTTGATTCTAAATGTGGAGGAGAAAACCCCCAGCATGACTCTTTGAGAGAAAAATCCACGCGACCACGGGGGAGATGCAACAGAGCAAACTCCCAAATACACAGCAGGCGTCAGGGTCAGGATCGAACCCACGACCTGCTGTATACCAGGCGAGGTAGCTAAAATCCCAGTGTTTTCTAATCCACGTGTTTTACTCTTCTTGTCTGAACGTCATCCCAAGCCTACATCACGTGGCTTCGTTGTACATTTTACGGTTAATATATTTTTAAGATAATGACCATTCTTTTTTTATCATTTGTCATACCAGGTCGACTGAACGTTAGACGCTGCATTTGCAGAACTTAAATCAACGGGTTTCCACAGGCTAAAAGAAAAACCCCTACAACCAGGCGTTGGAACGATTAAAATGTGAGGCGCTTTGGGATGGCTCAAATAAGCGACCCTTGTAAATGACAATCTGCATCAGAACATCATCAACAAGCCAATGTTGCACACCTACTTAAACGGAAATTTAAAAACAAATTTAAATAGTTGTCATTGCAGCCATGCAGCCCAAAAATGATGGACTATATAGTAAACCACTGCTCTCCTTCAACGGAGGAATATCGAAACTTCACAAATTCTGCCCTGAAGACCTCCCGTCGTGGCTTAGCAGAACTTGACATTGCCATTTGTCGTCATATTCAATGGAATAGCATTTAGGCATCATTGTTACTCAAAACAATAAAACACATTGTAGGCAGCAGAGGGCAGTGCTGCAAAGGAGATCATTGAAGTACACACTCAATGTTAATACAGCCACGTGTATGCGCCTCGCCTTTACCAATTGGCACTGAGCAGTGTGTTGAAGTATGGTCAACTAACGCCCCCCCACCCACCACGACATGGGGAGGCCCTCATCCAGCAGTGGATTTATCATGGCTGATGATGTTTAATGTACGTATTCAGATTAGCCCATATCGACCACATTCTATTCGAGTTCGTGTTGCACTTCTCAGGATAATGAAATATTGCATTTTTTATCTATTGTCAGTGGGGAAAGGAAGACTGACGTTTCGGACGACTGGCCTTCGAGATGTTTAAATTAACTTGAATTTACTGGAGAGTGAAAGGGGTTGGGTGTTCAAATTAATGTTGTTCCAATTTTGTAAATGGCTTTCACTTCTAAGTGTTGCATTTATTTATTTATTTAGGTCTCGGTTAGTGAGGGCTTGGATGACTGCATCGATTTCTACCGAATACAAATGCTTTTGATAGCCTACAAAGGCTTGGCACAGTGGGTACAGCTATGGAAATTCCCTATTATTATCCATGATCTGATTGATAGCTATGTAGTCAATGGTAGAGAAACCTTTCGTAAACACTGCTTGCTCAGACTGTTTATCCCCTGACAAAACCACTGTACCTTTCTCTCAATACCTTTGAGAGAGAGAATGTTTCACCCTATACTATTTTCTGGTTGCTGTAGTATTAGCTCGAGCCATAGCTTGTGGCATATAACTGAATGTGGTGTGCTGTGCAACTCGCACACACAGACCCAGCTGAAATTAAGCCTTGGGTAGATGGGTGATAGATTTGCCACGACGATTGATTATTTTAGCTCGAGCACAGTGGGCGCCACGGTGGTAAGATGTTAACTCTCTCGCCTGGTATACGGGAGGGCACGAGTTTGATCCCTACCCTGATGTCTGTATATTTAGAGTTTACATGTTTTAGATTTGAAGCTTTCGTGACTGCAAGGATTCATACTCCTAGGTTTTTTGGGTAAAGTCACGTAGGAAAATAATGAAATTAAAATAATAGAAATAATAGAAAAAATAATATAAATAAAATAATAAATCACGACGTTTCGGAGACTTTGCCGAAAAAACCTAAGAGTAGTTTACCTGTTGCTCCCATGGTCGCGTGGATTTTTCTCCAGGTCCTCCAGGTTTTCCATCCCCGTTCAGAAACACCCGTTTAAGAGTATCTGGCTGCTGTTAATTTCCACACGATAAGCCACTTCGTAGAGCTTATCATGTGTGGCCAAGTCGCTTCGGAAAAAGAGTGGGGGCCTTACCTCGGTTAAATAAAATAAATAGTGAAGGATATAAAAAAGCGTCACGTTATTCTTTGGTTCTTTCGGTTAAGTCACGTCTAAAGATAAAATAATAAATTAAAATAATAGCATATTACGACGTTTCGATTGCAACACAAGCAATCATCATCAGGCATACAAGAAATAGCAACAAAAAATCTAACTAGTTTTCTAGTTAGATTTGCTTGTGTTGCAATCGAAACGTCGTAATATGCTATTATTTTAATTTATTATTTTATCTTTAGACGTGACTTAACCGAAAGAACCAAAGAATAATTCCTGCAGTCACGAAAGCTCCAAAATTAAGAAGCGTCACGTTGTAGAAGACATTCTGCGAGCGAGACAAAGCCTTTTTTACTCTAACCCAGCCACAACAAGGGTCCCTGGAGAGCGGGTGTGTTACCCCCCCAGGGGATCCAGAGGTCCTGGGCAGCCTCAACCCAGAGCTCATTCTCCCTCGAGATAGAGGAACATCTGCTGCGTCTACAGCACATGCACATGGCCCAGCCACCACACACAACTCTGTATACTATACACAACACTCACCACTATACTCAACACAACACACTAAACACAGCACTCCACTGCAGACAACACAGCACTTACCACTATGAACAATACACACCACACTCGCTAATACTATCCTCACCGCGACACACAACCCCAACACCCACCACCATACGTCTCACAACACAATACACCGCTATAGAAAAAAACAGGGCTCCACACACAGCACTGTACATGATAACACACCCGGTGTCAATGTCGTGAACCATAATTCGTGACGAAAAATATTCGTCAGCGCAGTGGTCTTATTTATACACATTTATTTTCGTCAACTATGTGACAATGAGTGGTTGAACATCAAACATTACGATGCCTATACTGTGGTGCTGAGGGGGTGAATTTGCTTATTTAGTGAGGTGGGAGGGTGTCTATAAACTATAAGGATTACTTTGTGTGTACATATTTGACCCAATGACCCCCAGGTAGTGCTGGGATGGGTGACACGCATGTGCAAACAGGGCTTGTGGGGCTATGACCTCGCCTGGTGTACAAGATTTCGTGGGTCCCATCCAGACCCTGACAGCTGTATATTTGGAGTTTGCATGTCTCTCTCTCTCCTCGTGGTCGCGTGGATTTTACTCTAAGTCCTCTGGTTTTTCCCTCCACATTTAGAAACGTGCGTTTACACTATTTGGTTGATATACATTTCCACGTGATATTCCACTTCAATTGAGCTATCATTTATGGCCCGGTCGCTTATTAAAAAGAGCTGTATGGCTAAGTGGGCCTTACCTGGAAAATAGAAATATAAATGACGTGGAAAGGTAGCAGTTTTGCTAAATTCATTGCAATGAACATCAACGCTCCCACATCTATTGCTTTCCACCTTCACGTACCCACACTGAGCAGCTGTGGTGAAGAATTACAATAATAAAATAATATCCCCCATGACTTTCGTGGCCTGGGGAGTCTCCCTTTAATCCAGCTGTGGATTAACAAAAGGGCTGTACGTGTGCATTATTAATGCCATCAACTTTAAAAGCATTTAAACTATAATGGTAAATTCAGCTGGTTATATGTAAAGTA